TCCCCCTTTTTAGAATGTGTGTAGGACTATAGGAAACACGAATGGACACTTAGTCCCTCTGGAAACGCATGTTTACACTGCATAACACACTGGCTTGATTAATGTGACAGCATAATCGTGGATCGTTGTGTGGATATTTTCCTGATGAGCTGAATAATTTTGCACGCAACAGTGCATAAAGAGAAGCTGTACAGCCACTGCTGCCCACACAGCAGATCAAGAGTTCCAGGCTATTTTAGGGCAATCTATATTTTTTCTCGTTTTACCTACACTTCTGTTCTATGAGTTTGAAAAGGTGTCATATAGCTGTGTGGGGACATGATCAAAATAAACTGTGAAGCTTAGAAACTGGCTCAGCGCCTGCATATTTGGCAATTAGGGAATGTAACACCTTGAGTGTAAAACAAGTTGGAACTGAGTACCGTGACCTTAGTGCGATGAAGCAGCAATTAAAGCAAGATGAGGAGCTGAGCATTCTTCCGCAGCTGTGCAACAAATCAAATTGAAATGCTACAGCTCCTGTCAACTCAGTGCTGCTCTGGCATTTTTTTTTTTTTTTAAACTTGTCAAATTGACTTGCTAGTGTCAAATACTCATAGCTCTTTCATTTAACAAAGCGGCAATGTAGCAATTATGTTCAGAATTGTGAGGAGGAGCTTTTTAGCTCCTGCACCATATCATTAAGGTGATTAAAAAAGAAAAAAACATTCTATATATTTCCATAAAGTTGAAAGGGCATAGCAGACATTTGAATAATTTAACTAAGCCCTTTGAGCTCTATCTATGCACTAAGAGAAAGGACTCCAGCCAGACCATTATTAAATGTCAATATTAATTGCTAAATAGTACAATAAAAATATATGTGACCCGCTCTATCAAAATCAGTCGGAATTCGCAACGGCTCATTTCAAAATAAACGTGAATTTGCGTAAAAAAATAGTCTTGGCTTTCAGAATATGAAACTATTATTTCCAAAATCACACGATAAATACATTTGAAGCTTGTAAAGGGAAGATGACAGCTCTCACTCGCCACTCGCCACTCTGCTCTTCCGCAGCGCAGCTCTCCCCACACAAACACAAAAATGCACAAACACACACACGTACACACTAGGGCTGAACGATTAATCGATTTTAAATCGAAATCGTGATTTGAAATGATGTGATTATCGCAAAGCCTGCGATTTTTTTGTTAAAATAAAAAAAAAAATTCTTTAAAAAAAACGAAAATGTCTTGTGTGTCAGTCATCCACACCAATCAGAAGTGCTGTGCTCCACATGTACCAGCCATTGTTAACCAATCAGAAGTGGCCCATGATAGAAGGTGATAGAGAGATTGATCCAATCACCTGCCAAGTATTTTAAGTGCCTGCCCTTCTCCAAATGGCTTCCAATGGAGCTTTCCTAGATGGTTTGGTGAAACAACCCATCTGAGTCAGGTTAGTAATGCTCCATCACATGTTTTACATCTATTACAGGGTGAGTCTTAAACTGAAGCTTGACTTTAAAGCAACCGAACGGAAGTTTCATGTAAGTTTAGTTCTTTCACTCGTAGCTCGGGCTGCGGGGGTGCTAGAGACGGGAGCACGTTGAGACGACCTTCCTGGATATGGCCGCATTTTACAATAAACTTCCGTTGGGTCGCTTAAAAACAAATATCGCAAATCTAATCGCAATCACAATATCTCTCCGAAAAATCGCAATTAGATTATTTCCCCAAACCGTGCAGCCCTAGTACACACACACACACACACACACACACACACACACACACACACACACACACACACACACACACACACACACACACACACACACACACACACACACACACACACACACACACACACACACACACACACACACACACACACACAAGCTTCCCCAGACCAGTAATCCAAACAAAAATATCTTCCCTCCGTACTACTTTGATCATTTGCTCCGCTAATAATCAATCAGATCGATGGATTCCAGAGAAGAGACAACTTTAAAGGCCTTTTTCTCAAAATGATGTCTCGGTAACAGTCATTATATACAGTAATGTGACATATTTTGCTTAATATTTGGAGTACAAAAACAATCCTGATATCATTAGAACGCTAGGAATCTCCTCTTCCCAACAGTGTATACAACTCAAAATGTGTCTTCGGGTCAATGCGACTGATTTCGATGGACATATGTCTGAAGACAGGTTTTAAACTAATATAAACTAACTTTTCAGTTTCCACTATGGTTCTACATTATAATAGGGACCATTATCCGTCAGAGTGCTTGGTTTGGATCAAGTGGCTAAACTATTGGCTTGAATAAAACCTGATCTATTCAACATGAAAATAAAACCAATAGCAATAAACAATATTTGCTTTCCTCCAAAGTATGTATTTTCTCTTTATTACACTTTGTTAATTCTAGTAAGCTCTCATAGTTACTGCTTGAGCATCATTACTTATTTGAAAAGACACTCAAGTATTCACTATATCCTTCTGTTTAGTTTTTATTCTTCTAGTTTCTCATTCAAAACCCCTTCAGAACTTGAACGTAACCCTTGACACAATCTCAAGTGATGATCACACAAAGATTGTGAGTGTTATCAAATACAAAACATGTAAAACAAATCTGATATTTATTTTGTCATTTTCTTTGTATTATTCTAATAAAGTGAGCAGGAAAATCAGAGACAATGATTTCCTTTAGCCTGTCAGGTGCTGACAGTTGACCTTTTCCATTAGCAGTGGTGAATAAGCCCAGGGCCTGTGCCCTTCACCTGTCTCCTATTGAGCATGAGCAGAGCATGTAGTACATGTTACCCCTGAGTAACCCTCTAAACCAAATATGAGGCCCCATCACTCATACTGAGCAAAGTCAAGGCTGGCAATTCTCCTGGGTGCTGACAGCAGGACAACAAGCTGATGCTTCACTGTTCTTTGCTAAAAGGATTCACTCATCAGGAAGATGCCAACATGTAGCATCCATATCCCTCCACTCACTCAGTAATCTTAGTCTCATTGGTGAGGTAGAAGTTTTTATAAATATTAAAGGGAGATTAGTATATCAATCTTAGAAATATGTAGTCTTAAAGTCTTGGTATGCAAAATCCACTTTTTCATGTCTTGTATACATAAACCTGTGTCCCCTCTGTGTAAAGAGATTCTGAAAGTTTCAGGAAAAAATATTCGCTCACTTTTTGTCCTGATCCATTTATATAAAAACCTGTCTGAAAATGAGCTGATCAGATTTCGGACACTTTATGATGTCATAACATTTTCTCAATATCAACTACACATACAAGTTCCAAATTGAGAACTGTCGCTCCTTCCAAAGTCAGAGCATTGTTTTTTCTTTCCTTCTCTTAACAAGAAGAAAGTTGTTTTTTGTGTGATATATCAGACAGACAATTACCAACTTGCCATACAACCGAGTCCCTCTCCTTTCTGCTGTCTCATATCAATTCAAGAAATCAAGCTGAATAAATAGGAAATGCTGAAGAACTAAAAGTGTATCTGTTTGTTTCTTCAAAAGCTGATGAGCTAAGAAGTATTATGCTAGCCAGCCGTGAAGATGCCAGTGGTAATCAGCCTCAATAGTTCAACATCTTCGATGGCTTTCTTAGGTCGCATTCACACCTAATATTCTGCTTCTCTGTTGCGCACCAAACAACAGTTTACGTTCGGTTTGCGTTCACACGGGCAAAACTCAAACTATAAACTTCAAACACAAGTCATGCACACGGAAATGCTGTTCTACAATTGTTCAGACATTAAGGGGGTAAAAACGCAAATCCCGGCAATTTCTACCAGAGCCTCCGCCATGGAGCATCGACAGGTTATTTTCATACTGCTGTTAATGGAGCTGAGAGCATATCAACAGACTCTAGCTGAAGGCTCATCAGACAACGTGCGAAAAAAAACATTATAACACATATAATGAGAGATGTTCTGCAGTAAGGAGGGGCGTTTCACCGACGACAGGTGGCTCTGACTTTTATGTATAGTTGACGGATAATTTTTACTTTACACGACACTGTTCAACACTTCATTCTGCTTCACTCTTTCGCTAAAGATTTTGAAGACATCCGCTTTCTCGTGTTTTGCGTAAATCCTACGCTTCCTATGTTTTGGTTTCAGACTGATGAACCGCTCCAGAGTTTACTTGCAAGCGGTCTGAGACCACCTCTTTAAAGCAGACCAGAGTACAGTTGTTTAGTTCACTTCAGAGGTCTCGGACTGTGTTCACACCAACCCAAACGAACCGCTAACCCAAGTCTATTGTGGACTGAATAAGGAATTTTAAATGCATTTTCTCTTTAAATAATGAAAGTATTGTAAATGAATCAAAGCACCAGCACTGTGAATTAAACCGCATTGGGAGTTGACTGCAATAATTCAAAGACATTTTTAGGTGTTTTGCTTTTATTCGATAGTAATAAAGTATAAGACAAAAGACGTAGTAGCATTATTTGGAAAAGGAGCTCTTCGGTTTGCATTGTTGCAAGAAATTAGCTCAAGACATAATAAGATAAAAAGTAAGATACGTTCTGACTCTTTGCTAAAAAGGTCAGAAAACCTTTCATGCAGAATGAGCTCTATGGAATGACTGCAGTCTTTCAGTAAGGTTTCAGAGTTACACACATTGTGTCCTCATCAAACCTGTCATAAAACGATTCATTGGCATGATGAACAGCGGGGAGCTTTCATTTGATGCCATTGCCCATTCATTGACATTTATAGAACAGCGCCTTTTAAAGCACTCCTGCTGGAAAACTTTGTGAGCGTCTATGGAATAAATGTGGACAAAGAATATGGCATATAGCTGAACAAATTACGACTACATCATTAAAAATAAGAGATGATTAAGAGTTTTCTAACTGCCTGAGGAAGATCATCTTTGGGATATCTCTCATGGAGTTCAATTAAAGGAGAGGAGCAAAGGGGATTCTCCAATGAATTCAAAAGGCATGACTTTAATGAACACAAGATTGAATCAGTGCCTTTATGTCTGCAGGAGCATGCCTCTGCCTTGACGGCTACATGAAGGACCCGGTCCATAAGCACCTCTGCATCCGCAGTGAGTGGGGGCCCAATCAGGGGTAAGTTCGAATAATCACCTCATGATGCTTTATGATGCTCATTATCAAGCAGAGGGAATGGTAGAAAACTCATTTACAACAAGGGAATCCTCCTACACATCCAACAAGGCCATCCATTTGGTTCAACAGATTAATCCAAAGGAGCTGTGATGTTGCCAATGCCAATTCATTTTCTGTATCAGACAAGCTGCAGGAAGTACATATTCATACACAACTAAATACATAGATTATTCATAAAATACAGAGTTTTAGTGCTGTAACACTTATTTATTTAAACGTAAGTTATTTTACTGTAAACAAACAATATGATAAAGATTAGGTGTTAAGTAATTATAAATGATACTAAAATGAATTTGTTTGTGTAATGTGATAATGTGTACTCTATGTCTTGACAAGTGTTATTGTAGGTTAAGGTTAGGTTCAAACTGTAGCATTGCTATAATTGTGTTCTGTCATGGTCAAAGCACTCCGTAAAGGAATTGTTATTAAATGTGCTTCACAAACAAATTAAACTTAATTTGAACTGACCTAAAGGTTTAAAGCTTTCAAAGAAGCCATACTAACTATACATCGTAATGCCTGGCTGAACGCATCACAATGCTTTGCTTTGTATATCTATTTGTAAACTCTGGTAATCTAGCAATTTAATTAATATTTTAATTGTATGAGAAGTGCTGCACGAATGAAGAGTAATTCCATCTTTATGTTTTAAACTGTTGGAGTTCCTTTCAACCCATTATACGACACAGTCCTAAAAAGACAGTTGTATGTATTTTAGTACCACCATTAAACCACTTTTTTAGTTGATAGTGAGTCAGTAAAGTTGTTGGAGCTTTATCAAGCTTTTGGGGCTGCCCATTTCTTTGGGTGCAAGGTCACTTCCTCTATATTACATAAATGATTTCAACTGATTACTTGATACCTCTTGGCATTAAAAATGCTGTTTCAGGCCTCATCCCGGGAAGTCATATAAACGCTTAATTGGGTTCATATCTGCTTGTTTAAAAAGTCCTTGACATTTGGCTAACACCCCAGCCACAGTGCCATACACCGGGTCACCACTCAGGGTGCCACTGTCCCAGAGAGTTCTGCTCACATCAATAAGACAGTAGTGTGGAGGTACAGGGGAGTTCCCACTTATATCCCACAAACCATGCGAGAATAACGAGATTATGATGAAATGAGTTTAATTCTACACAATAATTCTACCATACTGTAAAAAGATACACATTTTTTAAGTGTCAGAGGTTGTGCCATATTATTGATACCATGATATCAATGTGATTTTATATGATTGTTATTACATATTTGGACGAAGCACCGCTATTTGTCCAATATTTTTTTACAGAAAACAAATATCCAAGACAAATAATTGATTTGTGAACCATTTTCAAGTATTGAAAATTATTTATAGAAATGTTTCAAAAAATAGTGTACAATGATACAAGCATGTAACCTAATTTATATCTTGCCGAAAAGATAATGGCAGGCAACAATTAGGAAATAAATACAAGCAATAACATGTTGTGATTCAGCATGACCGAAAGAAACATACCAAAAAGTCACATACAAGTGTTCATTAAGATTTAATTCATGAAAAGTTTACTGTAAATGCACAATAAATACATTTTTATTAACAGTTTATATATTAATAAATTCTTCATTATTTCATCACTCTACAATTATAATGTATTCCAGATAACATTTTAAGTTGTCATGTATTCCGTTTTACCCTTATTTACAGTATTTAGATGTAAACATGAAAACAAATGACCCCGTAATGATTTTTTAAGATATTTATCTGCAACACTGCCCAAGTTGCCAGCAAATGAGTTATCAAGCTCAAAACACACAGGAAAGATGATTGAAACAGGTCAAATATGATATGGGAAAACAAATACTCAGCACTAAAGCATACTATTTTAAATATCACTTTCCTTTGTTACCCATTCCGACCTCAGTGAACGTTCAAAACACATAATTACTGTGGTCATCATTATTGTATACATCTGAATGTTTCCGTTAGCCCACCCTACTGTGCCCCCTCTATATCTCATTTCCACGGCGCTCCCCGTGTCCCCTGTCTCTGTGTGACAGAGTGGGCACCCTGGGGTGACCTAAATGTTTAATGACCACAGCCTGTGGCATGAAGGTGTCCCTCCCTCTTCCCCGATGTTCTTTTGGCTTACTGTAGTGTAGGAGTTTGCTCAGAATGACATCGGGACCCTGTCACTTCTCCTCCTCGCACTCTCACTTTGCAGACTGTTTAGTCCCCGAGCTGCCACTCCCCATTAATCTCCATCATTCTCCCTCTATCACTTCTGCTTCTTGGTATCAGCCTCCTCCCCTCCATTCTCCTCTCTTACTCTCTCTCTGAGTTTTTGTTTCCTTGTCTGTTCTCTCTGTCACCCTCTTCCTCACCCCCCCCCCCCCCCCCCCGCTCTGTGTCCCTTCTCCCATTATGTCTCATCCTGTCATCCTCTCTTGTCCCCTCCCCTGGTAAACAGATATGAGCCAAAGTCACATTGCATGTCAGCTGCTGCAGAACACATTTTTCAATCAGCATGTTTACACAGAGCACACATCGTAATGCTGCTTGTGATTTTTCGGGGGCTCCGGAAGGCGGGAATGACTCAAAGCGAGACACTGAAACACGGCCCTGTGATTTTAGCAGGGTTTATATTATGAGGATGGGTGCACATCTCACTCTTTGATTTTAACACACAGTTTTATTCTCTCTCCTCTGTTTTTGTCTCTTCCTCTGATCTCTTCTTTTATCAATGTCAGTCCCTGGCCTTACACCATCTTCCAGCGCGGGTTTGATCTTGTGATGGGAGAACAGCCCTCTGATCGCATTTTCAGGTAATGGTGAACTTCACAGAACTTTGTTTTTTTATCCCGCTACATGTTTCCATGGTGCTGCACAAAAGATCGGGCAGTCAAACTTCACGTTATAACTCTGGTTACGCTAGCTTTGATTTCTCTCCCTCTCAGGATTAAGGGATAACGGTGAGCTCTGGCTGTGGAACGCCTTCTGTAACTATGTTTTGTTTTAGAGGTGTAATAGAGTGGGAAATTCTCAAAGAGAAGAAAAATAGAAGCAAAAAAATGGGCCACTTTATTTTCTCTCAGGTCAAATAATCGTTACGTTTTGATTAATTTTAGAGCAGTGAGTTTTTTGATTGATTAGAAAAGAGAATTCAATTTGGAAGACATCAATTAATTATCGGGCAATAAGAATTGTTTTGAAAGTGTTTTCACAAGTGTGAGTCTCAATGTCCTCAGCAATAGGACAACGGTACAGGTTTTCCTAAAAAAGGAGTCAAAAGACAACGTAATCAAGTCTTTGTTAGGTCCGTGGCTATAAGGCCAAAGAAGAAAACTACAACGTGTAAGATTACCTTTTTGCCCTATTTGCTTTTTTTTTTATTCTATATTAAGGAGTGCAGATTTAACAGTCAATACAACACTTTTTCACATTTCCTGGTTCTGCTTTTCTTATTACAGGAAATTGCACTACTACCCGTTACATATAAGAAAACAATCAGAATCCCCCCCCACACCCTCACACCCTCACAAGAACTGGAAAGCTGGTTGCCTTTTTTTAATAGTACAGCCAAAGATGCACAGGAAAGGGCAAGACAGAATGTAACTTGAAAACGTGAGCTGCTGGGTGCCAAAGACATACATCTTCAAACAGTAAACAAAGACCTGTTTGGTCCACATGAAGGCCATGTCACAACTTACATTGTTGATAGACACGTTACCTGTATTAAACAGACTCAGAGCAACATTGACATCCCGTTGGACTTGTGTTAGCGCCGACCCAACACATGCAAGTCCAGTCACTCTCCTTGCAGCTGGGTATTAGTATCGAATGACACCTAAAGGGGGCTGCCTAATGCTCCACAAACAGAAAGAAGCTAAAAGACTCTTGTACGCTTCGTGACTGCCCAGCACCAAACAGCAGACAGGCACAGTTAAGAGACTAACTGGTAAATAGAGTGAAACACGTATTTGCCAGATTCTCCTCACTGGAGTTGGTGGACAGTGAGGCGAGACAAAGATACCTGCGTACCTTATGGAAAGCACCAGCAATTTTCATTTAAAAAGTCAAATGTGACACTGCGACACAAAGATCTCTTAAATCCAAATGATGCACTTATAAAATAGCAGTGAACGTAAAAAGGAGTGCAAATATGTTGTCTGATTCCTGTATTCGTTAGCTATTTTCTGATTTAGCCCCTGTACAAAATGTTGAACTGTTTATTCGCGGTTGAGACCCAAAACTGACTTTTCAATATATTATTTTTCAGGTAGCAATAAAAAAACTCCTCAAAAATGCAAACAGTGATGTGTGCTTACAGAGTAAATATGCAACTGTTAGCTAAAACCTTTCTAATGTCGACCTTTTTAACGTAATAATGACATTGTGGTTCTACACCTCGTTCCCCTGCCATTCTGTTACGCTGTTTTAAGAATGAAAACAAAATGTATAATCTTTAATAAATCAAGATTTGTGTAATGTTTTAACTCAGTTACAGTATTTCATGACATGGGTAAGGGTTAGTAAATATGCCTTAAGAAGAGCAAATATAGTTGTCAAGAAGGCCTTTGCTATGTTCATTGAAGCCAGTTCACAAAGAAACAAACAGTAGAACACTTGTGTGTGCCAGAGGTTTCTAACAATGTGTATAACTGTATTTTATCCCAAAATGATTAGTTTCCTGGCTTGAGACAGAGCAGATCAAACAAAAATGTGCTACTGCCTTCATTACAAGTCGTTCCATGCAGCAAAAACAACAAAAGACATAGTTGATACTGCTTACAATAAAAAGGAAACCCAGAGTTTATCTGGCAACTGTAAGTATTGTGTTTATGTTATGAACAGGACAGGAGGCTACCATCGTGCTAATATCTCTAAGATACATTGCCCTCCCTGCTTGGATGTTTTTTGCACGAAGGCTTTTGCTTCTCACTCTGTCCAGGCGTGCAGTTTAAAATGTCTTTGTCCTCAGACTGCTCCAACCCAGCTATCCATCCTAATTCAAATGGTTCAGCCTCTAGCTTTGAACTTCGCCGAGCAACCCTGTCGGCTCCTGGCGCCGGAAAGAGACCTTGAATATCAGCAAGCAGTGTGAGAGCCATGCAGCCAGCATTTTGTCTGCCAAAGAACATATTATCATAAACTAACAGGAGTCAATTAGGCAATTAGAATCACAGTGGTATAGAGAATAAATGATAACAAAGAAAAAAACAAGGATAGGCACATTTATCACGTGTAAGAAGAGAAAAGTGCTTAAAGTCAGCATTCAATCACACAGTGTTTGCCATTCGCACGATATTAACCACGGAGAATTACTCTAAGGACTGCAAACATGTTTTCCACTCGACAACAGTTTTCTCACAGGAACTCTTAGTGTTATGCTCCTCCAGTTTCTCTCCAGGTGAACCAGATAGGTCATAAAGCAGCACACCAGTCCCTAGATGTCCATTATGAAGTGGTGCTTGTTTAGCGTCCGCTAATTTGTCCTGTGGTCACACATACGTCATACTGCTTCAATGGGGTTTTCATTTCTCGTGAAGTGACTCATTGGAGAAGTGGTAACACCTTGCAAATTCTAATACATAAATATTACATTTGTTTGTACTGCTTATTACTTGCTGGAACCAAGTGTTTTTATAATAAATGGAGGGAAGGCAGCACTCTGATCCACAGGACACTTGACTTTGAAACAAAGGAGGAGTAATTGGGTGGATGTAATTAAGTGTTCTATTTCCACAATGGTTTAATCCGTCTGTTCTTAAAGTGATTGGTAAATATGCAGTTCCCACAATCCACTGCCCTTTCCTAATGCTCAGTTGGCAATTCATTTAATGCAAATTCAATTCAATGGTGAAGGAGGAAATGTGTTTAGTCTGCATAAAAAATGGTTGTTAACCATTTGAATCAACAAGTTCCATTATTTTGTGCTACAAGTATTCATGAATAATTTATCAGCAGTAATAATACATTTGATGTTAATCAGCGTGCTCGGTTTGGCTTAAAGTCGGAAGTATCACTTTTCAGCTGCAAAGTGTTTAAAGATTGATGATATTCATTGACTCACAACTAAAGAATAGTTTTAAAGCTTTTTGTTCCAGACATCTGTTGTTTACAGATTTATGGGCCTGTTTGGTCTCAGGGGAAGCTCTTATTGGCCCTTTTTTGTCAGGGTTTCTCATTTGGTATGCGTTGCGTCCATTAGCACACAGTGTCCTTCTGCCCCAAAAAGAGTTATGCAAAAAGGATAACTTTGCTCAAAGGTAATATACATACCCTCTAAGCAACTCGACGCCATTATTCTAAAGCATTGAGGCAGCAAAAACATTTATCTTTGACAAGTAGATAATATGACGTCTCACGGCGGTGGTTTTTGCACTACAGGAAAAATACTCCTTTGTAGATTGATTACGTAAAGGGGAACTGCTTACATTTCTACACAAAAAGATCAGTGTGAGTTATTTTGTCCTAGTTTTTTTACCTACGCCATGGAGTTTAAGTATTGGGCTTGATTTGGTCTGTCTGTAAATGTTGAATATACTTTTCTACGTTTCCCGTCTTTCCATCCCTCAATGCATTTTTACATACGAGCAGTGTTCACCCATTCACACTTAGGAAGAGGCTGCCATAAAAGATACCACCTGATCAGAGAACCTCCCTCTGGCATGAACTTAAGGATTTTAGCATTTGCAGACCATTTACATGCACAAAAACCTATATAAAACACTACAGGAAAGGGAAAACTCTAGATAGCATGTTAGGGCTCCATTAAAAACAGCACAACAAGTTTGATGTGGTGATTCTTCCAAAAAGTATACCAGTGATTTTTTTCTTTGTTGCATTATACTGAGTTACCCTAGTTTCTTGTATTATTTTAAACGAGCTAAAACCTGTGACCTTACCTGTCTAACTCACCCTTATTTCCCTCTGTAGATTCACATACACCTTAGGAGAAGGGATGTGGCTGCCGTTGAGTAAAAGCTTTGTCATCCCCCCCCGCCGAGCTAGCCATCAACCCTTCAGCAAAGTGCAAGACGGACATGACAGTCATGGAGGACGCGGTGGACGTAAGGTGAGATGACATGTACTGGTACCACTTACCACTCTTACTTTCCTGTGAGGACACTCCTGAGACATGATGACAGAAGCCCCCGCTACTGAAATAAAGGTTTTCATGAGGCTGTGAAGCAGGGTAGAATCTTGCTGATTGTTGCATTAAACTGAGCTGTACTAAAGCTGCACAGAAAGGAATCTCTGCCCACTTTGTTTGGTTTTTGATGAAGCCTCATAAAACAAAGAAAGCACAAATCGGTTTTTGGATAAATATTCCTCACGATCATCTTTTTCATCCATCATCCTCTGGAATCTATCTGATACTCTCTTACCGTCTCACTGATTTGTATTCTCACTTAATCATCGTTTGGTGTTGATTTACAATTGTTGCAGTGAGTGTTAAGCAGCCATGTGAGGTTGATGCCGAGGTGTTAGCGGTCATGATTCAGGGTAATAAAACTCAACACAAAATCAATTATAAAGACGCAGAAAACCCAGAGTGGAAAAAACAAGAATGAGAAGAAATAATTGCTCTGCATTTCAAAGCCAAGAAGAGCATTGTGGTTGTTAAATGGTTCATAACTCCTCCAATGAAAATCTGTTCAGTGTGGAACGACTCTGTTTGTGTCTGGGCTGCAGAGAGCCGTAAGCGAGCCAAAACAATGCTGCAGTATTGAACTGCACTGGAGAAGCAACATCATTATTTAGCTATTTTGCTTTGCTAGCACTCCAGAACTTTGGTCCAGAATAAGACCTCGTCATATCAAGATGGACATGTTAAAAACTAGGGATGAAGTTAAGGGAAATGTAACGATCTGTGCATGTCTATTGAATATTCTCTGGATTTTCCAACAGATAAAGCCTTTCTTTGTTTAGGATCCCCTTACCATTCATCTATAATGCTACCAAGATGCCAACTGTTGCTGTGCCCTAGCTCCAAACCTCCTATCAGAAAGAAATCAAAAGTATTTGAGTATTTGTGGAACAACGCAGAAAAATTGAAAAACAGTTGACTGTTAAGCTTAATTTATGCATTTTCATTGACAGCCTGTTGGTAGATGCTGACAAAAATAATTCTGATGTTTTTCTATATTTGGGCTTGACAGGGTTACATCTGTTTTTATGCATTCTTTACAAAATAGTAAAAAAAAGTATACTTACTTATACAGAATATACTTTAAACTACTCACCACCTACAAAGCCCTCAACAACCTGACCTTTACCATCTCACCTCTTCCATCATCATATCCCCTACAATTTTCTTAAAGGCATTTTGGCCTCAATAGCTAGTCTTTTTAAATTCAGCACAATGTTTATCCTATTAATTTCACACCAATGCATTTTAAAATAGACAATAAAATAGGGCAAAGCGTATCCCCCAAACACTTCCATCCAAACATGGTCACTTCTTGGTCAAAAAACAAACAAAGGGAAGACCATGGAAATTCCAAATGTGAGGCTTCAACAGTCGTTCACATACATATTAGTGACATCCACTTGTTCCATATTTTTCATAAACAAATTATTTCCTCTGAAGGCGACTTAGGCAAGATGTCATTCCTGGTCCAATTTGTGATCACTCTGTTTTTCTCCGCTGTTATTGGGTATACTACTTTCTATTTATAACTTAGCGCAGTGGTTCCCAAAGTGGGGGGCACGCCCCCCCCCGGTGGGCGCAGAGGCATGACAAGGGGGGCGCGAGAGACCAGATGGAAAAATGGTTATTAAAAATATATATATATTTAAAAAAAAAAGAAATCATAATTTGAAAAATTATTGATTCGAAAATAATATGATGCAGTACAGTACTATTACGTCTGGGTCTCTGTGTTTCATTAAAGCTCGGCTCTGTGTGTGTGTGGAACGAACCATTTTGTGTACATGCGCACCGGTACCGGAGATCGTTGTTGTTAGCTTCTGGTGCTAGCGAGCTACGCTAACAGATATAAGGAGTTTTTTCAACAACAAAGTGGAGGAGAGTCCTCTCCTGTCAGACTGAGAGACTCAGTGAGCTAAAGGACTCTCTCAGTGTTATCTCAGTGGGTCTCAAACGTTTTGGTCACCATTAAACAATTATTTCCGAGGCACACGTTTATATGACCATTATAGTTATAAAAAAAAAATAAGAGAATGAATGAAAAACAGGTATGAAATACTATATGACAGTAAAAAAAGAATAACGTTTAAAAGGGTGATTTGTAAAATATCCATAAAGAAAAAGTAAATCTGTTTACAGTTCTGTTTCATATGGGTGTTGAGAGATGTATCCATATATATCTTAATGTTGCTCTCAAAGTGTACCAGATTGATGCTTTTAACTTCAATATTTAAAAATAAATCTTCCCGGGGGAGCTTGCCCCAGGACCCCCCTATGTGAGGTCCACACACAACCTATACAAATAGCACTTTACCCCTGCTTACACCTACTGTATATGCCGTGAGCTGATTATCGAGCCTTCATTGTAACAGTTGCAGGTGCGTTGTGTATATGCGTGGGGATTGTTGCAAATGAATGGGAAACCCTAAATGTTTGAGCACCCTCTATGAAACGTCAAGCTACCCCACAGCACCCCCAAAATAAATCTCTGGCGCCGCCACTGAGCCTGACTTGTGTTGGGGGGGGCCCGACTTTTTTTTTTCTCCAAAGGGGGGGCCTGACAGAAAAAGTTTGAGAACCACTGACTTCGTGGAAGACAGAGCTATACACTATCATCCAACTTAACTTGTTCAACAGCATCGTCAATCACCAAAGAGTAAACGTGACTGCATCTGGTCTGACAGCATTATGCCCTAGCATAAAGTCCGTGTGAACAGAATACGTTTGGGGGAAGTGGTACGTACGTTAATGTGGGATTTGTCTTTTAGTGAATGCTGGAACATGCCCTGTCAACAAGTTAGTGTGCGCAACCGTGTCAGATCCTGCCCTAATTTGCCGCTGGTTATTTGCCCTGTGAACATAATGTCAGGTGAAATTAGTCTCACTATGATCCCCATCATTTTTCTCATTAGCATGAAGGCACTCAAGAAGTTAATTTTGTCCCTGCCAGGGGCTAATTTCAAACCTTTTTGGATGAGTGAGATAGTTAGTTGTCCTACAATAAGAATACAATAAAATAAAACTTATACTTAAACTTATTCTTGTAGTTGTTTTCCAAAGCCAATCATGACAATAAGTATGTGATGTTGCTTACAGCAGGGATGATTACAGGTTTTTTACAGCCATTATACAGTACATCGTATAGTGACTGTCCCCGGGGTCCCCGGTCCCTACCCTTTGGTAGCCATCATTTTCTCCCTAGGTGGCCGCAATTGTGTTGGCGCATTACTTCTGAAGGGATTTATTTACCATGGCCAAACACACGAGCTGTGTTTCTAAGACCACTCAGCAGTCGTTTTATTTCTTTCAAAAATCCAATATTGGGATTTCCTCAAGGTAAGGTAAGGTACATTTATTTATATAGCACATTTTCAGGCACAAAGCCAATTCAAAGTGCTTTACTTTTTCATTAACACTTAATACGAAGACAACAAAAAGGAACACAATAAATACACATAATGGAATAACAGATTCATAAAAACCATGCATAAAAGAGATACAGAATAGTTTAAAAATAACATTGTAAATATGGTAGGTGCTAAAACAAGTTAAAATACTTCTGGGTAAGCAGCTGAAAAAAGTAGTGTTTTAGTGTGAAAGTATTCAATGAAAATGATGATATATTATAGAGCAGGGGTGTTCAACTAAAATTCAACGAGGTCCAGTTAGAGAAAATGTCCCCATGCAAAGGTCCGGAACATCAAAATGTCTAAGTTGCTTTATGAATTAGTGTGATATATATTGAAGCAGCCTGTAGCTTTATCAACATCTGCATGTAATCAACAACTGACTGCCAATCAAATAAAGAAAGTACAATTCAAAAACAAAAATATATATTGTCAATTAACATTGAACTATACAGATATACAGTCAAATACTGTGGATATGTGTAAAGCTCTCGGGCTGCATTTAAAAATAAATGTTTGAAAATATGTGCATCTTAAAAGTGCTTCATTTTAGATAAATAAAATAAAGTGTAGCAGCAGCTTGCGTTTCCCTTTTTCTTTGTTAACCGTTTCACATCATGACTTAACAGTTTCAGCCGATTATAGAACAATATCAGTCTTTACACATCATAACAATTGAACAGTTTTAAAGTTTCTCTTTCTTTCCCTCTTATATTGCAGTCCCTCACTCAGGAGTTTGTAAATCTGGGCTGAAATGGTGTCAGGGCCATTCTCATACACACATGCATTGGTTAGCCTCGGTTAGCCTGCGCTGGAACGATATTTAGTTTTAATTTTAATAATTTTGATCCTGGTGGACTGATCATATTGGGCTCTGAGACTGCTTATTTTGTGTGACCTCTGTTCTGACTTGAGAGGAAATGTTTGGTCAAACACTTTGTGTTTTGTCTCATAGTGGCATGTTGGCACTTTTAATGAGCGCCACGGTCTCTTAACAAATGAGACACACCGGTGTTGTGCTCCCAGTGGGCAGGATGAACATGAACGAGTCCGTCCACTCAGGGTTAAAAGCTCTGTTCTCACTGTCCACTTTCCTCTTCTTGGAGAGCACCATGTGTAATTATTTGTCTCTCCCTATCACGCCTGTTCACTCTCCTCTCCGCTTCTCTCCCTGTATCGCTAAGTATTCTCTTCACTCACTTTCCTCTCTGCTTCTCTCTGCCGCTCTCTCATCTCTTCTTCTGTGTTTCTCTCCCTGTATCGCTCACTCGTCTCTTTCGCCCCCTGTCGGCAGCGGTTAAAATAGAATCGCCCTGAAATCCCCTATTAATGTATTGATTATAGGTCCAGGTCCGTATAGGTCGGCGTCTGGATCCGGACCGTGGTCCACCTGTTGCCGACCCCTGTTATAGAGTAACAAAACAGACTACTTTTTGTTCATTCTAAAACCATACGTAGTAGTCATACGCGTGCCCCTCTACATCACATTTACTGTAAATGAATTCTGTTTTGGGC